GGTTGTAGCATTTCATGACTATCGATCCATGACTAATGTAGCAAGAGCAAAGAGCCAGCACGTTTCTCAAAGATTCTTTTGTTGGCAATGGCATCAAGATACGTTTTGGGAACAATTTTTTTTTTCAATTTACCATTGACTAAAATAATTAATGTATAACAAGATTGAGTTTGGAAATAGCAATAATATTTGAATGACCACAGCTGTACCGGAACTCATTTACCAGTTTATAGGATAAGAGGAAGGACAGAGTTGTAATGTCATGGCATGAGACAACAACCAGCCATCCACGCTGGACTGATTAGATTACTACCTCTCCCATGGCCTGCCATTCATCTCCATTAAAAAACACTTTGTTATACCAGTGACCTGATTTTTCTTCTGTAACCAGTAAATCACCTTTGGCATAACATACCGGTTTTGTACAGTAAGTACAGTTGCATGATAAAACAGGACTGGAAGGTTTGATCCACTCACACCAGGATGGACCCTGAATCTTTTCGATAAGTGTAAACACAGGCCCTCAGACAATAGAAGCTCCAGTCCTGGAGACAACATGTCGTGTGACCTACAGGGATACATGCCACTTCACCTCTGAAATAACAAATTACATAATTATAGATCCCTGTTTGAAAAATTTCACAATTATGGCGAAGAACGAGGCCAATGCCACAATGGCAATTAAAGCTATATTTCTAATACAAGTACAATGATGATGTACAATTATGTTCAAAATGTCTTCCTTGTTCTTCCTGTCAAGAAATATGCCTTGTTCTAAAATAGAATCTGTATTTCTCAAAACACATATATCTCATTACAATCTGTAATGTCTTTTATTGATTTCCGACTGGAATTAAGGACGGCGTGATCCCGGTGTTAAAGGGAGCAACGGCAGGGTTGTATTGTGATAGAAATGTTGCCGAGAATCAATACCCGTTGCCATGGCAATTCCATAAATCATACATGTCTGATTAAGGCAGGACGTCTCCCCGGCTCGCATGTCGATTTCCGTGTAGTCACGCGATGGGGAGGGGGGAGGGAGGGGTGACCTACATTGACTGGAGTTGTGTGGAGCGTTTAGTACACCTCTGCCATCTCACGCTACGGCAGATTTCTGCTGTGATTTGTCAGCATGTGTAAGGTATGATGGGGAAACTGCCTCATGGCGTAACACGCTGGTTTTGTACGCCATCAGCATGTAAGGACAAGCTGTGTAAGAAACCGATTGGTTCGAGGTATCATACGCTTGTCTACTCCAGGGCTTTCTCTAGCCATTAACTTTAGTCCATTCTCTCTGCATTGACCACCAAGTTTGGCTCCTCAACCCTCCGAAATGCTATTTCCCCCATTGGGCAGGGAAATTTTAAATGGCTTCAACTTAATTTTGTTACGTTTTTGTTTGATCTGTGTTTGTCAAGGAGAATAAATGTTTAAGATTTTGTGTCTGTTGTAATGAACAAAATTCCAATCAGGGACAAAAGGACAGACACTGGAGGGAGCCTTGATGTATTTGTACTCCAACTCATACTACAACTTCTAGAAGTGTGCTCTGTTCTTTAAAATTGTTCTTCAAGTTGTGGCTCTCTTCATAACATGGGACAAGTGGCTAACTTCCCTTCTATAAAGAACTACAACAGCTCGCAGTGGCGTGCAAATCAGTGCTCAGACAGTCAGGCTCCTGCTGGTTTCAGTTTCCTCCTCTGATCAATAATTGTAATTCCCATCAAATCAGTGACGACCCGTGTCTCATGTTCTAATCCATGCAAAGGTTCATTGTTAAGGTCCAACCTGTGATAACATTCATCTGATTCACTGTACAGGTGTTCTGCTGTACAGGTGTAATGAGCACATCTAGTGAGACATGATCGATGATGACAAGAATCAATATTTTCTTATAGAAAAAGATGTCACAGTCCTTTGGAGGTCCCTTGTTCAAGGAGTGACACATCTTCAGCATGACAACCCAATTCCATTTTTTTGTATTGAGCAGAGATGCATCAGACAGTGTGAACTTGTGGAACTTCTGACAACATACTACTGCTAACTACCAACTACCTACTGACATAGTTACATGCACATCACTCCCGAATTTCAAACTGGGGTTGGCCTGATACATGGGCCACCCCATACCTGAGTAAATAGACATCATGCTAAGATGGCCATCACTTTTTCTTTTTCTTTATTTTTGGCACCTTGTACAGAATTCTTTTTCACTTTTATATTTGATATGACCACTTCAACCACCGGCCGTACTTAGCCGTGCACCAAGACCTCCCCCTGGACGTCTATACCCGAGAGGGTTTTGACGTCAGTATTATTAAGATTAAGAAGATTAAGATTAACATGGAAAAGCTGTCTGCCTATCATTAATAACTACAAAAATAAATTTTCAAAATTTAAAAGCTATCCTTATTAGAATGGGAAGGGGTCATCAGGGTTTAGGCTTAAGATTTATAATTTTAGTACATGTATTTTGGATTTATTCTTACAATGTGGTTACTCCACTTATGTTAATAGGCTGTTGTGAAGTTAACCTGTGAAACAGCTTTCCAAGACATCCATGTACTGGACATGATGGACTGTGGTCTAGTCCATCAAAACAGACCTGCCTGGAAAAAGGTCAGTGCTACAAACCTCTTTTCTTATGTGTAATTCTGACATACCGTTGTCTGAAGGTCAGTAAAAGTCATCCGATTCTTCCCTAATTACATCATTACAATCATAGGCACAAGGTAATCCCAACTACATCCCCCCTCCCTGAATTTTAACAGAAATGAAATTCATTACTTGCAGATTTAGGACTCATCCCTAAGCCATTATATCAGAAGTGTGCTGCAGTTGCAGGAAATAAACTATGATTTGATTTTCAAAGCAGCACACAGGCTAATAGGAAATCTATACCAGCACAGATAGAACTAAAAAATGAGGACCCAGAAAAGGCAACTGAAGCAATAATTGTGAAAACATTCAATGATATGGTGTATTTTCTTTTTTTTTTCAGACAAAATCCTAACATCATTTTCTACCAACAAATGCTCAATTGTCCAGTTAACTAAGTCACAAATACTCCTTTATTACAAAATCAAAAGGTATATGTTCAATCTGTTGGCTATAGGTTTAACAGAGATATAATGGTTTTTCACTTCAGTTAATTATACTTGTCTTTCTGCTTCCTTAAATGTGCTTTGTATTCCACAGGTATTGCACTTCATCACATTTCAGAACAATATTGATACTGCAACAATAAAAACATCTGTACTGGACAATATCAAGTCACACAGTACTGTTCTTTTCACAACTGTTATTGATCAACTGACTCCATGGATATTCCCTAAATCAATTATACAATATCAACATCAATAATACAGTTAGGTTCACATTCATCCAAAGACTATAGAACTGCTTTTAAGTACTGTACTGTAAGTTCAGCCTATCTGCCTGGGCCCTGCCCCAGACAAAAACTCTGGATTAGGTTTAGAAATTAGATAAGAAAGAAACCAATCATTTGAAAATGGTCACTTTGATGCAAACGTCCATGGGAACCAGGAAAGCTTTCTGGCCAATCATACTAGTCCTGTGTCTGGTTCTGACAAATGTCAGTTGTCACAATATGGACAACATTACTGAGGTTTCAAGTGTGCTTTGAGAAAGAAGCCCCAAAGTGTGAGTAAAAAGAAACGTTGAAACATTTTAGATCTTGCAGTATACTGATTATATCTGTCACATTGTAATATTTCAATTCAAAAGAGAAAAAAAAAAACAGGCATGCATTTTTCAAAATCGACCAGCCTACGGGAAGATGAAAAATCCAATACACTTGTCATTTTTATATCAGAAAAAATGGGCTCTTGCTGCTACTTTCCTGCTATTTGTCTGATAAAATCAAATAACATCAATAAGTGACACAGATACAAGGCTAGGTCACTTTTATACAGGTACTACATTGTATGCTTCAAGCCTGTTTCATATGTACGTGATATGCTGATATACTTACTATAACTGCAGAAATCACTTCTTTCAACAGACCACAATGATACTGAACAACAAATGTCTATCACTGACTGTATTGAATATTCCACAGTGTCAAGTCATTTTTCCAACATTGATATATTTGATTTCCTACTCACATGTAACAGAAGGTGGTCACTAACATTTTAACGGACTTTTACTTTCGTCCACACAACAAACCATACCTTAAGACAAACAACAAACAAATCAAGCATTATAGGATATACTGCTGCAGTTGTCTTCAATTTGAGACAAAACATTGTTTTATCTTGTGCTTAGCAAGATCTATTTTTCAGCAATAGGTTTCTTACAGCACACACAGCTTTGAAGGCAGATATCAGTCTATAAAACTCTGGTTACATCAAAGTAGAACATATTAATTCTGTATTCTGGCAACATCCACTCTGAACCATTCTGCAAATGGATTCAGATCACGTAATATACTTTACAGGACCTCTTTATTACAAATACATAACACTCTCTTATCTTTATTGCACAAAACTGTGATTTTTACACATTTTCACATTGATCCAGGATATGTATTACAGGTCTATGCACTGTACAGGCTTTTATACATGTTATAAATAATCTCTGACGTCCTCTACAGCAATTTGTCAGCCCTTTGTGACTACATGCACCCATCACTGACGTCTGCAACAGTCTTACATTTCCTATCATAACAAGCCAGATTTTTTTTAAGGATTTTAGGCTTAGTTCTAATCTGATTGCTTGACTTTGAGTATTTACACATCTACATCTTGCACAATATATCTTCTTTTGTCAAGTGACTAGCAGTTGACTGTTATTCAAGGAAATACAGAGTGTACCAGGTAACACAGCCATACAGTATCATAAATTTGGATTTACTTTATGGGAGAGGGAATTTACTAATTTTTAAAAGAGACTGTACATGTGCATGACAACGAATACTCTGATGACTACCTACTTGTTGAAGATTAGAAAACATACCGGTAAATTCAACGGACATTTTAACTTCATTTTGTGATGAAATTTTTTGGGGGAGTAATCCTGTAAATTTGTCTTTTGGCTGGATCAAAGAAGGGACAACTTCTTGTTGACAATAAACATAGAAGGTCTTCAACAGTCAAACCAAAGATTTGTATGGATGGTTATCGAGCTTTATGTCCCTAATCAAATGAGTGCACCAAGGCACATAGCATGACAAGGTAAAAAAATTCTCTTGTGAAAATTGAAGAACAAAATACATGACTGTAATATTCAACACTAGACTGTGATAAGATCTGGTTTGTTGGAAAGTACAGTGATAGGTGCATCGTAATAGTGGTCAAAGTACAAATGCTGCAGAATACCTTCTGGTAGAGCTCCCCAAATTCCCACATCCTACACTTTGGCACTGCTGTGAGGTTGAACGGGTCGTTTCCGCGTCGAGTGCACTTGTTACATGCACTGACCACGAGATTCTTCAAACCTTGTCGGAAGGCACTGTTCGATATGCTGTAGATGATGCAGTTGAAGAAGCTGTTACTGATCCCGAGCCACGACAGGCCGAACCGAACGATTGGGTTCAGTTTCATCCCCATGACCGACTGCACAACGCGCACGATCGTGTATGGCAACCACGAGACGTAGAAGGCAGTGATGACCGTGAAGAGCATCATTGCGGCTCTGCGCTCGTGGTGGCTGCGAGACTGGGACTCGCAGTTTGGGGTCTCCTGCGACTCGCGACTGGATCCCTTCCGGTACATGGACTCCCCGCGGGAGTTGGCCTGGTGCTTGGCCTTGGTCGTGTAGGACGTCGGGTAGTGGTCGCTTTCGCTCTGGAAGCGCGTTTCGAGCTCCCGGACCTTCCCGATCTCCTTGGAGTGGTGTCGGCAGATCTTGAAGATGTGGTAGTACGTGAAGCACATGATGACGGAGGCGGGCAGGTACAGGATGCAGATGATGAATATGGTGAAGTATATGTCGGTGGCCCAGGACTGGACCTCGCACTGGAAGGCCTCCATGTCGTAGGTGCTGGTGCCCCAGCCGATCAGGATGGGAAAGCAGATGCAGATGCTGAAGACCCATGCGAAGATGATGCAGATGCGGGTGTTGCGCATGGACATGATGGCCTGGTAGTTGAGTGGCTTGATGATGGCAATGTACCGGTCGATGCTGATGGCCGCCAGGTTGGCAATGGAGACGCTGGTGAGCATGGACACAAAGTAGCTGTAGACAAGGCAGGAGGTGGAGCCGTAGGGGCCCAGCTGGTGGAAGGTGACCATCACCGGGAAGATGCAGGTGAAGCCGACAGCAAGGTCTGAGATGGCCAGCGTCTGGATGAAGATGCTCATGGTGTTGCGGAGGGATGGCTCGTACTGGTACACCACGATGACGATGACGTTGCCGATGATGATGAGGATGGTGACGATCAGCATCAGCACCCCTTCGATCAGGTCGACCACAAGGAGCGCACCTGGTGCCTCCTCCGCACAGTTGGTGAAGTAATCCGTGAAATTCCCTGCTGTCTGGCAGTTGTATGCCCCGGCCGTCGTGTTCCAGTCCCCATCGGGAAAAGGAAGCAGCGCGCTGCTGTTTGGTTCGGCTGTCATTGTTCTGCAGCAATTTTCTACCTCAAAAGATGCAGACAGCAGTCCAGTTCATAGCTCAGGGCATAAATGATGTGTCTCGAATGAGATGATTCCACCGCGAGGGTCTGTCTGCAATCAGTAAAGCAGTCACATTTTTCACCCTGCCTTTCACAACTCTTTCGTCAATCTTTTCTCAGCCTGTAGCCACATAACTGCCGGATCGGTCGGCCTGGATGATCTGACTGTGCCAGTTTAACTTCGTTGGAAGGTTTCAATTTTCACAGAATCGTTCTGCAGGACAACGCCAGCAAACAGTTCAGGCAATGAAATTCATTGCGCGGCTTTGGGGTGCCTCAAGAGACCCCTCACCAAAATCCATCAAAGCACCGTTCATTGAATGTCTGAATGAAGCAGCACTTGCATCGATTCATGGCCCGGGAGCGGTTATCCTTCCCACATCTTCTGAGCAAAAACCAGAGTCTGCTGGGCTAAAAAATTCCCTCTAAGAGGCATTCCCCCAAATCAACATCCTTTTTCTGCGGTTCAAAATCTCCTGAGGTAGACTGTACTCACAGAGCACCTGAGTCCATACACCGGTTTCCGCTCTCTCCTCAGAACTTCTCGAGTAGCGCCAGGAGCCCGTTTTCCGCGTCTGCTCCCCTCCAGTCGGCACGGAGAATGCTCAGTCAAATCACCCGTGGTCTGCCTATTACCTCATATCCCGGCAGCGCCAAGTGCGGCGGGAAAAAATTATGCAAATCCCGGGCTGTCATTGGTGCACGTGAGTCATTACTGGGAGGGAAGAACGTTCCCACCTCCTTGTTATACATCGTGGTATGAATAATTGTCAACAGTGCTGTCTCTTGCGAACAGTAAGGGGTGGCATATCTGGGTCTTCCAGACAGTTAGGCACAAGTGCGCATCATGCAAATGAGCCTTTCTCAGTATTCAGGAACCGTCCTCGAATGCCCAGATGTCAGTGGTTTATTAATATTGATCACTTCTATAAATAGAAGCACGCACGGGCCGGGCAACATCAATAATATATGTGGCCCTCATCACCTACATACTAATCCTACAGAGTTGAAGCCTTGATTCTTGTATAAACCCTGGGATGATACTGCATTGAGACAATAGGAACCAGGTGTGAGAATTGTTTTGTCAGGGCTGGTGCCGACAAAGGCCGAGCAATCAACGAGGCTTCAGCGAACAAGGTAATCACATTCAGGAGATTTAATATGCACTCACCAGTTCCCCACGGGACTCTATTAAAAGCTGAATCAAGCTTTGTTGTTGCCAGGGGACCAAGGTAATTGTTTCTTTGGCTCTTTCCCCATTTTGCTGTGCAGGCTATACTTACTCTGTGGGTGGGGGTCGGTGGATTAATGTAACTGACCAGGCCTGCCAAGGCAACCTTCCTCTCTAGGAAAATGGGGGATCTATCATGATTACTGGGTTATTTCTCTTTACTAGAGGAAAATGATGAAGAAATGGGAAGGTTTATTACAGGAATCTTACTGATGTAAGCTGAAATATTTTGAAATATTCTGAAATTAAAGCTTCTTGGTATAAGACTAGTTAATGTCCAATAAAAGTATTCATATGACTTTCAGCATAATGCACTGTTGACTACAATGTAGTTTTTTTAGTCAAACCTAATCAAGCTATTGCAGCTTTTACACTATACAACTGATTGGTACCAAGTTCTACAGGATAATAATTTATTGGGAGGTTTGCATCACCATTAAAGTTTAATGATAATTGCCTCCAGTGTTGCCAAGGGGTGTGGGACAGACACTTGGTCTGCTTCACTAATTTGTACAAACCAAAATTCAGGTATCAAATAAAATTATTCTCGACTGTAAGAGCTTTGCATGGGCAGTTGATGCTTCTTATAAATCATCTCTCCTCTGCTCCACAGGGAAAATTAATCTGTGTTTTATTACAGCATTGAAAGCAGAGAATAATGAAGAGTGATTCTTAATGTGCCCGAGTCCTTTTGGTTTATGATTTTGATTAATACGAAACCCAGATGAAAAGGACAAGCTTCAGCAATTCTGGCACAAAAAACAAAATTTCTACATGAAGAAATATTTCAACACCTACATTCTTGAAGTTTGCAGTAATGCTAGCAGACTTTATTCCATTTAGCTATCATCCAATATAGTATGAGGACAAACACACAAAAAACACAGCTACAGGTTAATCAAGTTCATACTTCACCATTCTCCATACATCCCGATTCATTACAAGTTTGGCAAGCCTAACCATTGCCTTCTATCTGCACCAATTTGTCTACATGACCCACTAACCTCTGCCCTGTGGGGTCCCAGTTTAAACTCAGATTTATTTTCCTGGTTACTTCTAGGGAGTAACAATGTGTGTCACTCTTCTGATACAGAACATAACTCCAGTACAATCAGTTTCTGTACGTTAAACACAAGGACCCACTAAATTTTAAGTAGGCAATGATTGCAATGACTGAAGGATTTAAAGAAACTGACAGAAAAATTAAGATACAGAAGGGTAATTATATTTTGCCATCTACCTTTTCATCTGGTAGAATTCCAACCACTAGTACTAGTCATGCAAATTTTTTTCAAACATTCATGCCAGATTAGTACATATGTGCATACAGTAAGAATAGAAAGACATATATACAAGTATATATATAAGTATGTAAGAAAAGGTTTGCTGGACCAACTTTATTGCAATAAAATCCCAAATATAAATCTCAGTTTGAACAAGGCAACTCTCTGCTTGAATAGAATGCAAATTTCTGTTCCTCTGGATGTACGTCAAGACCTGGATGTGTTGCCAACCGTTATACCAGCCAGTAAAAATTGCTACAGCGTTCACATATACTTACAGAAATTGGAACCCTTTAACCTGTTCACCTCTGTTAAATTTGAGATATTCAGCTAATACTGTAGATGTGAGCAGCATGCTGACCATGTTCACAGACAACGTTTGGCATTTACAAAGATTATTATTGGACCCTACTGGTACATGTATATGGAGGGAACATTCATTTGGCTTTATGGCAAAGAGGAGTGAGGAAACAGTAATAAAGCTAAGGGTTCCCACCAGCATCTCAAAATGACCTTATTTTATGGTCTGGAAATAGTGAACTAGTTCCTGCTCGTAAGTGTTGAGTATTATTTATTTCTTACCTGAAGGGGAGGATTGGGCAAGGCTGAAGGAGCCTATAATTGCCTCCTTGGTTTGATTGTAAAGCATTGCCCTTCTTATCCCTATCCCCCATGAAACACATGACAAAAACAGCTCTCTTTAAACATCAAACACGTTTAATCATTACATAATAACATAGATGACTTTTCTAAATTGCTGTACATACAATTTTGTGGAGTTAATCTTTGGGAAGAATGTGAAACAAAAGTCATCAGATTTGGTTGATGTCATTGATACAATCAATCTACGGTTTGTTACAGAAGCTGTGTGTGAAGCTTCTGCATTCTGGATAATGTCCCTTTGTTTGAAGTAAGTATTTCAGCTGCTTTTTTTCACTGAATCAAACTACATTTCTATGTACCAATTTTGTGATACAGGTTTCCAAGAAACAGATAAGTCACTTCCAGTTGCTGACAGACGAAGTGCTGCATTGCAGTCATGACATCACCTTACGAGTCCTCCATGACGGCTTATTCTACAGCAAGACCAAACTGATGGGAGAGCCTCCTTCCCATAAGGAATATTTTGGAAGCAAATATATTCATAAAGCTGGGACCATCACCCTTCTTCTATATTGGAGATGACATCTTTATAGCATGTTTAATACTGCTATATTGTATGATATTTCAGCAAGCCTTCGGGATTGATTCCCCTTCTTGTTAGTATTTTGCTACAGTAACATGGGATTTCCTGACCTTGCTGCAATAAACCATTTACAACAAGCACCTACCAATTGTATTCTCTTGATGATGAACCTCATTTGCTGAGAAATTTGTGTGCAGTTTTTGAGAGGAAAGAAACTTCATTTCTCTAACGTTACACCGTCAATTTTTATCAGTTTCAGTTTATAGATACACATTCCTAATGTGGACAATCTTCACTCTTTACAAATGTATAATTACTTCATGTGTTAGATAAATATAGAAAGCAAAACTGTACTTAAAAAGCCTAATGCGTCAAGGTATTTTTAGCTCAAGTAGCTGAGGTTTAATTGCGAACTGGGGACAACGTTCATTCTTTATAATTACTGCACGTGTTAGGTACCAGAAAGGAAAACTAAACCGTTTAAGGGATAAAAGCCTAATGCATCAAAAGGTATTTTTAGCTCAAGGAGCTGAGGTTTCTTTGATAATTGAACCTCAGCTACTGGAACTAAGAATACAATCATGTACCTTTTGATGTACAATGCTTTCATCCATTAAAAGGTTAGACTATTACTGTTTTCCTTTCTAGTACCTTCAATGCAGCCATCCTCAAGAACATCTTATTTCAAAGTTTGACATGAAATTGATTTTTAGTCAGAGTTACAATGATGAAGGGTGCTCTAGAGAGAGCTATACTTAAATATGTATTACTTAAAACTGTGTCCAGAAAAGAGAATATCTGGTCCCTGATGATATTCTGTTCTGAATGAGTGACGGATTGGGAGCAGACTGGTGAAGAGAGCTAGTTAATCCATATTTCTGATGGACCAGTGAAGTCACAGAGGACATGATGGTGTGAAAAACCTTCCAGAAATGGTGATTGGTAGATGTATGGGGATTAACCTTCAACTGAACAACTCAAATTAGTATCCATCTATTGAGATTAATTCATAATCATACAAATCCCTCTGTCGGATTCCTCATATTTACTGTGACAAGCCTCAAACGCACTTAACATTTCTACCCAGGTGTAAATTTGGTGCCTGACTTCTGTTTGGGAGTTGAGGACAATGAAAGGAGCGGGATGGGCTCCACCTTCCAATACCGTGCCCTGGACACAGCAAATGAACAACCCACTGCTTCTTTGGCCTCAAAAGGCTATGGGGCCCTTCCCTTCCCTTCCAGAAGCTTGCAATGCCCCTTCACCCACTTCAGTACCTGTCTCATGTCAACCTGTGACAACATGACATAACCCAAGTCTTCCATCATGCTATTTTTGCCCCCTACTCCCAGCCTCACATTTCACCTGTCCTGACTCATAATTCAGCTGACTTCCATGAAACACTGCTGAGTGTCATACTTAGCAAATCTGACAGGACACTTCTGTTCTTAGTGTCGTGTTTCTTCTCCGGTTTCAGTCCACCGATGTATCCAATTTGTCAAGGAGAGACCACGCCAAACCTGCTCAGTTCATAAAAAGGAATCGATTGGGGGTTTTACAACTTACATTCATTCATTTTGTAAAAAGTAATCGATAAGGGGTTTTACAAGTTACACCCACACCAACTCCACCAAACTGCTCATAAAACATGCATGATTCTACCAAATTTTGCCTTCACCTTGTACATGACTACAAAAATTCTTCCTCTGCCATATTTCCGCTGACTGGTATGGCTGAAAAGGTCGTCCTTTGTCATTCTAGTTTACACAAAACATATTCGTGCAGCGCTAGGTGACTTGACATTGCACGGCCTGAAATATTATCCACATTGTGCAACACGCTATACAAATCCAAGCCCTGACTATTCCATGAACACCACGTAAGACGCACATGTACGTTATAACATGATGGATATATTGGGGCCGGTGCTGTTTGATCCTTGTTCTTGGGCGGAGGCACTATCTTTGACCACATGACTATCGACAAAGTCATCAGGGGAAAGATTTACGAGTTGTCTCGGAGTCATCTTCAGCCATGCAAATAACTGCTGCATTATCTGGTCATTCCTGCTAAGGTGAAGTCAGGACAGGGTCGAGGAATGCCGCCCAGATGGCAAAACATCTATCAATGACAGACTCCTAACAGGGCAGAAATTATTCTGGGGGTTTTCAGAAGGAAAAGAGAGTGAAATCCAGTTAGCAATTCAAAACAAGGAATTCATGTTGTTTTTTTTGCTATATAATTTGTAAAACTTAGATAGATTCCATCATTTCCATCATTTCTAGAAATCTAAATCTAAATCTAAAGGCAGGTTACAAAATGATAAGAATCTGTAAAATGATTACAGCAATTTGAAATAACTCCCAAAGTTTGTTGACCAACTGTTATATTTTACTTGTGAGAATACCTTCCTTTC